AGTTTTTTGCACTTTTGAAATAATTTTACAGTGCAAGATAGTCTACATGTTTTGCTTGAAAGAGAAACCCATTCTTTTATACATTTTAGCTTGGTTTTCCATAGCCATGTTTTGAGAATATCATACATAACAAATGACAGACATTTTTTAGAATTTATTTACAAACCTTTAGTTCATCTTTTATTAAGGATGTGATCTGACTTCTAGATTTGTAAATCACTACATTTCTGTTTTCACTAAGGAAAATTGATATTTTTGAAAGAACTTCTGAGTTTTCTTAGATCGTATTTTCAGTAGTTACAAAATAAACGGGAAAGCAAGAAAGTCCACCAGCAAAACCACTCACCAGGGCAATGGCAATATGAAGCAACCTAGAAAAATTCAACATCTTAGTAATTTTTCTAGTCCTTGTAATCCAGTTGCCAGAATTATCCACACTGGTTCAAACACAATCCAGTTAGATTTGAATAGAAGATAAACAGTGATGCCACTGGACTATTCTTCTTCCTTATGAACTATTGGAAAACAGCAACTCCTCCTGAACACCAGAGATCCAGTAGGTCATTAGGAATGTATGCAGCTAGACTGAGCTGCAGAGCTGATTTCACACCCCAAGGATATCTGTCCCACACATGCGATGGTGAGACATTTTGTTTAGCTATTTAGAGATGACAGATGCATTTGTGCTAATCCTGGTTGTGGAAAGAGTTTATTCATGTTTTCATGAATTTAACATAGCAGATGAGAATTTGGGCTACTAATTCATTACATGGGAAAACATTAGTAATAGTAAAAATCCCTAGATTAGTTGATTAATTTAAAAATTATTCACTTTGTCTGAGAGCAGAACATGATCTAAGTACTCATTTGCAGTCATTCTGAGAGAAAGCATATTCACAAGTTAAATTATTCATAATTAGGTAATGGAAGTTAAGAATTCATAATCACAGGAATATTTCTGAGAAAACTTTTGGTAATTGTTTTACAATTATGATTGATTGAACATACTCTCCAAGAAATGGTACTTATATTAAATTTAGGGTTTATGATTGCTCTTGCTTGCAATTCTAGAAGTGAAGCTACTAAGATCTGTCAGGTTCAATGTCAGCTGTGTTCCTACTGATCAAGTTGATAGAAATGACAATGGTTCTAGGGGCAACAGATATTTTGTGGGCAGACTTTGAGAATTGGTGAATGTATAAAAAACCAGATGTAATCCACAATATATAATCATGGTACAAGTGGTACAAAACTGTATACATGAAAACTGATGATTTTATAGAAGTATTAAAAAAGTTCACTTCCAAAACCTATATTGAAATATTTATTTTTATGCCACTTTAAAAATCTGAAACAATGGAATTAATTTATTTGTACTGTTGTTAGAGTTGACTGTTCTTAATATACAAACATGCAATGTCACAAGCTGGAACAAGCTACCTGGGCAAGTCGTTGAGTCAACATTCCTGGAAGTATTCAGAAGGTGAGCAGACACGGTGCTTAGGGACATGGTTTAGTTGTGGGCTTGGCAATGTTAGGTTTGTGATCACAAGGGTATATTCCAACCTAGATGATTCCATGAATCCCTGAAATATGTTAAATAATCTCTTGTGGCAGGTGAAGAAGATGTTTCTGTTGATTGGCTGCATTTGAACTTTGCACTATTCACAACTCTATCAGCCTTCAAGTAAAATAGCTGGTGCTCACTAAGAAAATAATAATAAGAACGGGATAATAGTTCTGCTTTCATCAGCTAACACACTTTTCTCTAGTTTAAGTCTGAGAAGCTCAAAAAATATTAGAGGAAACATGTATTTCTTATCAGTTACTAATCATGATTAAAGTACATATGGAGCTGTCTGCAGATCAGTGAGCTCCCCTGGAACAACACCTCCCCAACTCTTCCAATATTAAGGAGCCAAAAAGGATCATCGAAATTCAACTCTTGGCCTGACACAGGACACACCAAGGAATCACACCATGTGCCTGAGTACTCTTTGCAAACATTTTTGAACTACATCACGCCTACTGCTGTGACCACTGCTCTGGGCAGCCTGTTCCAGTGCCCAAACACCCTGTAGGTAAAGTTATCTGACCTAAACATCTCCTGACACAATTTCAGGCAAGTCCCTCAGGTCCTATTACACAGAGAAGGGTGTGCATGTGGTGTTCATGCCCTCTTCCCCTCATGAGGAAGGTGCAGATTGCACTGAAGTTTCCCCCCAGTCTCCTCCAGGCTGAACAGACCAAGTGAGCTCAGCTACTCCTCGTATGACTTCCCATCTGACCCTTCATCATCCTCATTGAATGCCTTTGGAAATTCTTTAATAGCTTTATATATTTCTTATATCTGAGTGCCCAAAACTGCCTCCAGGACCCAGGGTGAGGCCACCCCATTGCAGAGTAGAGTGGGACAATCCATTCCCCTGCCCAGCTGGAGATGCTGTGTGTGATGCACTCCAGGACACAGATGACCCTCCTGGCTGCCAGGGCACTACTGACTCAGATTCAACTTGCCATTGACTAGGACACTCAATTTCTTTATGCAGGGGTTGCTCTCCAGCTTCTCATTTCCCTGTCTGTACAACCTGAGTGGAAATATATTGAAGGAGTGAATTTCATGTGAGTAAAACTACTTGTACAATGCATTTATGAAGTGGGCTAGTCTTTTTTAGATCTAATTGTATAAATGAAAATAATACATGGACATCTTTGGAGAATCTAAAGTGCCTCAAAAAACGCTAGTGGAAAATTAATACAAAGCTAAAAGCATAACAGAGAAAGAAGTATAATTAAGAAAGAATATAATTATCCTAATTATCCTTGTCACTGAACAGGTATATGGAAGAACATAGCGATGAGGAAGTGTGGTGGACAGTGGAAATTCCAAATTCACTGTCATAAGAGATTCACTTTTTCTGTGCCATGCAGTTGCACAAAGAAAGACACTGTATTTGGTATTTGCACTTCAAATGAAAAGATTTCTTCATTTTACAAAAAAAAGACCTTACTTCAAAACTGTGTTTAATCAAAATCATATCCAGAAGTTCTGGATCAATACTCTGAGAATGTAAGGTAGGAAGTATTTTGTTTAGGCTTTTCTATTTTTTAGAACATGTAACAATTATAAAGACTTAACCACATTTCTGATGGGCACAAAAACTGCTGTGCTAAACCTTTAAAAATATCACTATATCTAGGACAACATTGTTCCAAAATTGTTTCATGGTATATCTTGAAAGCCTCATAAAGTTTTCATAAACTTCATTAATGTTTCTTAAGATGTTCTATCACAGTAGATGTTATGACTTAATTTCCTAGACAGTTTGTGCCCTGCTTCACTCCTCTTCCTTTCTCTTATGTTTATTTGCTTTTCTTCCTTCCAGTCTTATCTGTTGATCACACTGTGGCGTCACCCTGAAAAGACTTTCTTCATGGAGTTTTACCTCAGTTCCGGCTGGAATTTCTTTTACACTGAAATATTTCACAATAATTCACAGACTTTTGCAATGCTAATTTAAACTTCAGAAAGAGAAGCAGTGATTACAGACATAGCCCTTCATCTCCAGTTTTGGGGTATCATACTGAAAATTAGTTTTTCAAATGTAAATCTATTGTAATTCTTCTACCTGATAAGGGGATGAATATATAACTTCATCTGCCTGGAGACACACTCTCCTACCAAATCAAAACTATTTCACTGTAAATCTAAATTAGGGCACCTGACATTAAAGGTAGGTGATTTTGTTTGCACTTTATTACAGCATTAGGAATGGCAGATGCAGGGTTATTAGCATACAGAACTAATCTGTTATCTCAAATGCCCATGAAGAATATAGGAAAGCCTCATTTAAATAACACAAAATAGCAGAAAAGAAAGACTGTGTCTTTTGCTAAATATGTAAAAAAAGAACCTGTAATTCTCATTATGGTAATGACAGCACAAGTTAGATTTCTAACTGTGGTGTGGGTTTGTCGGTGTGGTTAGTCAGGGGTTGTTTTGCTAAATATATTTGTAAATTTTGTAATTTGAATCACCAACTGAATTAGTCTGTCATAGGAAAAATGTCATATCAACAAATTGAGATGGGCATTTGCAGGCCCATCACTCAACTACCTTTTGGTATGGTATGCTTTTTAACTAAAAAATACTTAGAGCTCTTTTGTGGAATTTTTTTCCATTTTATTGGAAAAAGACAATATAAAAACTACACTCTTCATGTAACATACCATAAAACCTAGAAGCAGTTGTAGGAATACTAATGTGACAGGATGAAGTGTGAATACATGATATTGTTATTTTGTGTGCTGATACATCCCCATTTCTGCAATATCATTTTTTTCCCATTTGCCCTTCTAAAGTGGGAAAGCTCACTCTACATCAATATTTTAGTGTATAGTCATTGTAACAAGGTAAAATTTCATTACAAGGCTTAAGACCTAGCTTCTGATAATTAATTAATTGACTGAACTATTCTATAATAATTACATTAATGCTTATGTAACCACATTCATTTGAGGGTTGTCCTGAAAAGTGCCTGTTTATTACTGTGAGATAATTAAGTAAGATCAAGGAGATTTTAATTAACATTAGGAAAGTTATTAACCAGAATATGACAGCAGAGCACAGCCTCTGGAGAGTAGAAATCAGCTGCAAACAATATATGATCCTGATGCATGAAAAGAAAGAAGTTTTTTGTTTAATTAGGTTGTTTTCTCAACTTGAATGGTTAAAACCACCAGCTGGGACCAAATATCCCTCCTCAGAGCTTCTCTTAGGGGAAAATGCTTTGACACTAAGTTGCTTAAAATCAAATGTAAGTAAGAAAAAAGTAGTGAATGTAGCAAAACATTCACAAAGCATGGCAGTATACATATACATTAATTACCTGCTCATTAGAAGAGACAGAAAACTAGGTTGGAAAACGTAGAGGATATCTAGTGTGAAAATTTGGTTTGTGAAAGAGACTTAATTGCCATGGAAGAAATAACGTGTTTAATGAAATATCTGGCCTCAGGATGTCCTGGGAAGAAACTTTTTTTTTTTTAATGAGGTTATAGTTAGGCATAAAGGATATTGCTTTTCCTTTGTAAACATAAAGGAGACATCAGAAGGTTTTGATGAACTCTCTCCCTGGCAAAAAGGACAAAAAAAATACATAGGCATATAGGAAGGAGAGTTTAGAGGATGAGGAGTATAAGGATTCCACTGAAAAAGAGGCTGTGAACTTACTGGGGAAAAAAATCATGAGAACAATCCACATTTTCTAAAGGTACTAGCAGTTATAAGGTCACAGGATCTGTATTAGAATGTAAGATATATATGTACATGTGATAATAATGTTAACAGTAAAACTACATAAAATATAAAATACAACTTTTCAGAATAAACCTACCTCAACTGTATGATAAGTAAATATTTGAAAAATTTGGTACTTGTCTCTTGCATTGCAGATGTTAAATAGGCCACAACTGCCATGCTTTTATAAGTTCCATGTTACAAAAACTAAAGTCAGAAAAATTCAGCCCTGTTGAATAAAAATAGAAAAAAAAACTGTGATGGTCTAGACTTCTCTATCAAAAGTTTTGAACAAAAACAGAGCCTTGTAAACAATTAAATTCTAAGGCAAAAAAAGAAAAAAAAAAGAGAGCTGTTTAACTTATTTTCTCTTTGCTTGTTTTCTATTTGCTTCTTAGCAAGAGATGTGTGTTCCGTCTCGTCATCTGGCTGCTTTAGAAGTCTATGAATTTGGATGCTTTACTTTGCTACAGTCTGGCAAAATTCAGCTTGTTCAAAATAGGTATAATAGCCCTTCAAGCTTAAAAGAAGGAATATGTCATATTTAATGTGAATTACGTCAGAGGATGTATCATTCCACTACCGTCTCCTGTACTGCTCCTCACTCATTATTGTAAAATTCAGAATCTAAAGCCCTAAATTACTTAGTAAAAATTATTGTGGCTCTCTGGCTCTGTATTCACAGCTCTTTTAACAGGGAACAGACAGTCATAGAGCACAACATAGAGCAGTATAGACCGCTGTACAATTTTCTGTGTTGTAACAATGTCTTTGTGAAGTGTCTAATGTGCATCCTGCCCAGGTGAAGAAGGGGAGTGAGATAAATGCTTCAGTGGGCACCAGGCACCCAGTCCAGGTGGACACCTGACATCCAGGCTAACAAACTGTTAACACAGCAGCACCACTTCCACCACTAAGCGATATCCACTGCCACATCAGCAGGCTTTTTTTGAACACTGTCAGGGATGTCAACTCCACCAATTCACTCAGCAGCCAGTTCCAGTCCCTGACCAGCCTTTCAGTGAAGATATTTTCCCTAATATCTAATCCAAACCTCCCCTGGTGGTGAGGGCCATTTCTTCTTTTCCTGTAGCAGGTTGCCTGGTAGAAGTCACTGACACCTCCCTGGCTACAATCTCCTCTCAGGCAATTGAAGAGAGCTGCAACCTCTGAGCCTCCTTTTCTTTAGGCTAAACACTCAATTCCCTCAGCTGCTACCCATCAGACTTGTGCTCCAGACCCTTCCCCAGCTTTCTTGTTCTTATTTGGACTCATTCCAACATCTCAATGCCTTTCTTGTCATGAGGGGCCCACAACTGAATCCATCAGTTGAAGAGTGACCTCACCAGTGCCACCCTATTGCTGATTCAAGCCAGGATACTCTTGGCCAGTCCTTCTTGGCCACCTGGGCACAGCTGGCTCATGGTCAGCTGGCACTGACCAGCACCCCCTGGTCTTTTTCCACCAGGTAGCTCTTCAGCCACACACTCCCAATATGCAATAGTGCATGGGATTATTGTGATCAAAAGCAGCATATTTCAACATCCCAAAGATAATATGAGTAAGTCATATCAGAAGATGGTAAATATATACTTATTTCAGAAAGCTGAAAATAAGACTATGTAAAATACTATGTTGTAAATATGTAAAGATTATATAAATAATCTTTAATATAATATTATATAAAATATAAAGATTATACTTCACTGTACTTCAGTGTGCCAGGATGTTATATGAATAGTGGAAGAACTAATGGTGTGGCAGAATCATTTATAAAACTACTTTATATCAAATACATGAAGAATCCTTTCCATTCTGTTTTCTAGTCAATGAATTCTTCCCTGTTGCATTTTTAAATGGAAGGGAGCAAAATATGTTCTAGACATATTATCATTCTAATTTCTTTCAGATGAAAGAGAACTCATATAATTCAGGAGTGATCATAGCTCCCTTTATTAGACAGGTTTTACACAAAAAGTCTTTACAATTTTTGTTTGATCGAAAGGGTAGAAAGAGAGTGTGGTCTAAAGAGAGAAAGGAATAATTCTTTGAATGTAATAGAACAAATAAGAGGAAAGTGGCAGATAATGGAAATTTGCACTTCCACCTGTCTAGACAAAACCCATAGAGGGAGAAGTCATGGGAAGTGTAAATTTCTGCTGCTGTAACTCCTTTAATGAAAGTTTTTCTAATGTGCAACAGCTTAAAGAAAAGGGATAAGTGGAGTATGATCATGAGAGGATAAAAGGAAACAACAACAAAACCCAAAATACTAGGAATGAACTAGGGGATTTTGTGAGAAAAGAAGAAAAAATTGATTACTGCAGCATGGAATACAGTTTTGAAAGAGTATCTCTGAAATTATGCCACTGAATTGATTTCAAGATTGTAAGTAAATGAAGTAATTTTGAAAATTTGATGTAGACTCTGAAGTCTCAGTTAAACTTGTATCCCCTACTTGTATGCAGGTATAAATGTTGTATGTAGGTATAAATACATAACATATATTTATAAAATAAAGAAGGATTAATAAAGAAATTGAGATTTCTAACTAACAAAAATAATACAGCTACCTTTATTTAGACATCTTTAGCACAAGAGTTCCTCTATATTGACTGAAACCATGGTACTTAGACTATAAATTAAACTATTAAACATTAAGGTATCACATATAAGCTAATCTATACTTTACTATATACAGTATTTACCTATTCTGTGATTTACTGAATTCTTGAAACACTAAAATAACAATGACATTTTTAATCAAGTAGGGATAGATATACCTTACTATTGGAATGACAATCATACCTCAGTTCTTGTTTCAACAGAGTGACTAACTTATATAACATTCTTTTATTTCATTATAGAGTCAGAAAGTCATGCCACAGGCACATCTTTGATGTTTATCATTGGCATAATCTTTTTCTTGTTTAATTGCATTCTTCTAAAAGACTTTCTGTCAACACAAATCATTCTAAGATAAAGGCAATGTTCTAGCCCTTGTCTCAGATGCATTATACAATATAGGTATGTGTATTCTTGAACTCCACTAAAATGGTTTATTCTATCACAGATAATATGTTTTCTGTGTAAAAACATTATAGTGCCATGGGAATAAAATGAAGCATGACAGTGGCAAATGCAACCAGCCACTTGGATATTGGTCCATGTTCCATTGGTAGCAAGACAGTTGGGCACACCAGTAATTTTCTAATACTGGCATATTAGTGCAGCCAGTATATTCTCAACTCGCTAATTAAGTTAAATGATGCTCTTATAATTATGATCTTTAAAGTGTGTGTATATATTTGTTTTTTTTTTTAAGTGATGGTGAAACAGATGAGTAGCATAGCAAGCAAACTCCTTAGAAAATGATAATATAATTTCATCAATGAAGTTTTGATATTTTTTTACTCCTTGGTGACAGGTATGAGGAAAATAGCTGCAAAGTAACATATATTCAAACATAATGCATTATGCATTATCATAATGCATAATGAATCACCAATTTTATTGCTGATGCACATAAGGATAGAAAGGGTTTGTTAGGAAAGAGATCACTGTCTGAAGGATCAAGACACCTATATTTGAAATGACTGAAGATGCTGCTAGACCCACTCTGCAGTTTGAAAATAATTTTCCTTCTCTTACCTTCAGTATCTCTTGTCAATTGGGCAAGCTTCTGCTACCTAAGTAAAAATCATTTTTAGACTCCCTAGAGTACTTTTCTTGGCTTACAAATGGACAGGTTTAAGACAAAATTTGGATGAATTTTGCCAGCTCCATGCTGACATTTTAGATATACCAATGTCTTAATGGCATGTGTTAAGGCAATAGCAAAAAGACTTAGTTTTGTTTGAGAATTCTGTGTACTTCTACAAAAATACATTTACACAACATACCAGAACATATTTAGTAGTTGTTCTGGCAAGAAATAATAAAAATCATAAGGAAAGACTTTTAATAAATTAAAAGTGATTTGCTGTGTGTGGTGTTCAACCTGGCTGGGGACCTGAGCCAACTGACTGCTGCCTCTGAAGATCCACCTATCTATCTGAAGTCATGGGAATCTTTCATCCGAGTTAAAAGTCTTGCCCAAGATGCCCCTTTGTTGTTATGTTAAATAAGTTACTGTCAGTTACAGACTGGGTAATGTTGCTCCCTATATGGTTAGGCTACTAGAATGTTCATCCCCTATGGTTATATATCTCTGTGTCTTCCTTTGTTCTCTTCTTTGATTGGTCACCCCCACAGAGCTCCCCTGGTTATTGTTGCTCAGCTTTTGGGAATTGTCCCTATTTTCTTTTATTCCTTATTAAAGTCTTATTTTCCTGGTGCCAACCATCGCCCTTGCTCCTATTTATTTTTCCACTACCCCCTGCCCTGAAATCAGGGGACCTGAAAGTTTGTTGCAGCCAGCTTCACTGAGACAGATGTGATAAAAATTTGTCTAGTTTCCTCTTTTCCACTAATAATATCCATCAGTCAGAGATCCATATCCAAAGGCAGGGTCATTAAGTCTCAGAAAGCAGTAATTATTTTAGTAATGAAATGGCAGGAAACAGGCAACTTGCAGAAATCAAAATTTTCTGCTCTAGTGGTTTGACAAAAGAGAAGGAACTCGGATTTTGTCTATGTGGAGAATATTTTTGTCCTTTTTTCTTGTGATCAATTTGTTTCATGCGATAAAATTATAAAAATTCCTTACCTAGACTGTTTTTAAAGCAATACTTACTCCCATGAAAATTTCTTTTGAAAAATACATATTACCTTTATAAATAGGTATTTTTCCATGTGTTCTCCTCACCAGGACCTCATGGTTATATTATTTGATCATTTTGCCTTAGGACAGGATTGCACGCACAAATTGTGCGTCCTTTTATTAAGAAAAAAATGTCACCTTTCTCTCACTGTGAGTTTTGGAAAAAACTCTATTTTCTCCTCCCCATATTGATTCTCCTGTATCCAAAGCCATTGATATTTTCAAACAAGGAATTTATTGCAGAAGGAAAATACTGTATATCAATATAGACATATTTATTTTTTTTTTCTTTCATATCGCGTATGTAGCCTTTAAGCTTGGTAGAATCACAAAGCAAAGCTGAACAGTTCTGTCAGCCTCAGGTCTTAAAAGGTGATGCTTCTGCTCTGGGAAAATTCAGAGAAGCACATCTAGGAACATTAGATATCACTAAGATAATTTTAGGTGGATATATTTTTAAATTATTTTAAATGTACATACTACCTCTCTGTCCAGGATTTTGTATAAATTAGACAACTGTCAGGGAAGAAATTTTTAAAAAGTATTTAATTCTGACACTACACCAAGAAAAACCCAATGATCCTTTCCAAAGTATTTAGAAGTGCTTTCTTTGTAAAATAAAGTATTACAGAGGATCAGATCAGAGCTGCACTTTCTTATTTCTTATCTCTGTATTGTGACCACAAAAGAAAATACAGAATAAATCCAAAATCTTTCAATACTGAGGCATTGAAAATTATCTGCATCAGGGATATTTTATATCTTGAACTATTTTAAACACAGTTCAGTAGCTGACTTACTTGATTTTAAAAAGTGTGGTTATTGGTTTTTTCCTTTAAGTCTGTCACTTGAGATTTGACTACGTATTGATACACAGTGTTTTATTTTGCTAGAATATCTTAAAGTCCAAGAACCATGATAATGTGA